TTACTGTTAGTTTGTTCTCTCCACAATTCCTTGTATATTTCTTTGATAAGTGTTCTTTTTTCTGGTAATGACAATGAATGGGCGTGTTGTTTCCCCTTTGTTCCATTTTTAGCAAGTCTGTCTGCCAACTCATTTTCTGTTATGCCGCAGTGAGCCGGGATCCACTGGAGGACAATTTGATTGTTTTATGTGAGTCTGTTTAGCTGACGGGTCAGTTCTCTTTCCATGTTGTATCGTGGATCCCTCTGAGTTGACTGGATGACTGACATGCAGTCACAAAGGAAAACAATTTTGCTGTTTTTAATTTTTCTTTCGTGAAGCACTTTGGCTGAATCAATAATTGGTTGCTGCTCTGCTCAGAAGTTTGTTTAGAGTGTCCCAGAGGCGTATGATGTTTCTATTGTGGTCCCATCTTGCAGCATATAGAGCGATCCAGCTCCTCCCTTTTTTTCTGCTCCCTCCAATGATCCATCAATGTATACGTGTGTTCATTCAGGTTTTGTATAACAGTTGTAGACAAGTTCAAGGGTCTTTGCATGCAGTACTAGGTCACATTCTTCAGCCTTTCTGTCTATGCCTGGAATTGTTGTGACTGTATAGTTAGGCTGTAGGTCTATGCTGTATGCTTGGATCATTTCCCATGTTGAAGGATCTTTAGAAAGGATGTCACTGTTTTTTGTGTAGTTCAATTTTGATAGATGGTGAAAACTTTGTCTTTTCAGTCAGTTTTTAGTTAGGTTATTTGCTATTCTGTGCATAGAGTTGCATAGAGTTGTTCGTGCATTTAAATTTTTCTCTTAGGGTAAGCACCTTGTCTTTCCTTTAAAGACTCAAGTCTGGGGCCAGAAGTTGCCTCCAGCTCATGGACTGGTGTGCTTCTCATATCTCTAGTGATGATTCTGAGACCAGTGTTTTGTATTTTGTCCAGTTTGTGTAGGTTTGATTTGGCTGCAGCGGAGTAAGCTCCCATGTCATACTCCAGTTTTGGTCGTAGGTATTCTGTGTATACTTGTCATACAGTGTTGGCATCTGCGCCCCAGCTTGTTTCAGTAAGTTTCTTCATAAGTCTGAGCCTCAGGGTAGCTTTCCTTTGGATGTTTACAATTTTGGGGTCCCAGGTTAGTCTTTTGTCAAATTTTACTCCCAGATAGGTGGGGGTTTCCTCTTTTGGAAGGATGTTTCCTTCGAGGTACAGATCAACTTGTTCTGGCTTTGTGGAAAGAGAGAAGAGAGTTGAGACGATTTTGGTCTGGTTTATTGTGACTCCCCAAGAGTCTGTTCATTTCTTAACTGTATTTATAGCTTCCTGTGTTCTTGTTTTAGTTGTTCCTATATGTTCAGCTTGGGTCCATGTGGCCAGGTCATCTGCATGTAGAGCCTTGTGAATGTGAGTCGTGAATTGTTTTGGGAGTTCACTGATGAAAAGAATAAACAGGGTAGGAGATATAACACCTCCCTGGGGGACACCTTCTTGTAACCTAACCAGCTTGCTCTTGTGTTCTTCCAGTCCGACTCTGACATGATACTTGTAAAAGTATACGAGTATGATACTAGTAAAAGTTGTGTTTTTTTTAAGCTAATTAGTGGGAAAGGGCTCTGATAGCTTCTCTTAAGGTAAATTTTTTGTAGAGGTCCCAGTCTGCTTTCTTGTAGTTCCAGCTGGCTATATTCTTCCTGTTTTTCTGGTGGCTTGACCTCTCCTATCATGATGATGACTTTTAATTAATTGTTACTGTAGTATGCACCTGACGAGATGGGGCGAAATATGCCAGGCAATAAATTGTGCAATCTATTGTTTGTTTCTTCTTTGTTCAAATTCACATCGGGGAAACCCTGCTTTGATTTTCTGAAACTATAATTAGGAAAACTGAGTCCTTTCATCTTGGAAGTTCCGAAGTTTCTGATCTGTTTTTTAATTGTTTAGATGTGATGTAATTCTAACATGATTTTCTACACCAAATGATAAGGGAAAATAAACATAAACCTCTGTCGTTGATGAATCTCAGCTAGATAGTGTCTTGATATTATATTATGATTGATAATGCATGTGCCAAACCTACTGCCGATAATATAGGTTAGGATGAAGTTGAAAAAATATTTGAATAAGATCATTCCTGTTTTGGTCAGCTGTTTCATGAATTCGGTTGTGAAATCTGAGATGTTATAAAAAAAATCATCATAAAATCCAAAGTATTTAAATAATTGTTTCAAGTAAAGACTAGCTGATGCATAATTATTCATTAGAGGCATGTGAATCCTTGGAAATTGATAGCAGTGTTCTGAACAAGTAAAAAGTAAAGTAAGCACAGCATTTTATGTGTAAATAATCTTCATATGTGTTTAACATCCTTGAATGTTGTGGGATTTAAAATCTTTTTGTTTTTGTCATACTGATACTATACTGAAATAATTATATTTATTCTACAATGATTTCTCTTTCATTTGATATATATATATACAGCCAATACTTTTTCTTCAGGGAGGTTTTAGCTTTGTCATAATGCAGTTTAAAAAAAAAATCTGCACTAAATTAATGCTGTCCAGTCTGATATGATATGTAAAAGGAGATACTCCATACCTCATCTCTGGCCTGAGTTTCTCTGTACTGATTTTATGGAACCTCATGCAAGACTCCTGCTGCACGTCGTGTGCCATAAATAAATCAATATTAACAAAGCTAGCAGTGGATCTCAGAGCTGGTGGCCCCAAGAGATGTAGGGTCCAGTATGGCTCTCATCAGCCCACACCTTATGCATGGGTGAAAACGTTTATCAAAACTCATTTTGAACATGAGTAAAGTAGACTTGCCTAATGTGCCACTAAATGACAACTCTCAGTTAAAAGTGTCAAGTGAAAGAAAAACCGAACTGCTGAGACTCAACCCTACACCAAGAGATTTGTCTGCAGCTAAGACAAGCAACATCTCCTGTGGGCGGTTTCTCATGATAAAATCTTGTCACACTATATCCTCTTTCAACCTTCAGTTTCATTGTCTCTGCGATGAGGTACACCACAACAGCCACTGTCATATTGCTGGTTAGGTTCACATATCTGGCAAATAGCTGTCCCATGGCACACAAGCAAAGTCTCAATGTCCAACCGTCATAAGTCCCACTAATTGACAGAAAAGTTCAAATGTCTGTATTAATTGGCCTTACTGTTGGGACCAAACGAGTGAAGCCTGTCCTGATGCATGCCTCTCCACACTGTCATAATAAGTGCACCGCTGAAACATTAAAGGTGTCTAACGCGATGAAGAAGAATGTAGCTAGTGATCATCAATGTCCTGGACCTGCAGGCTGTTCCCTGCTGATGGGTGCAGCCTGTGACGAGTGGAAAGCTCAACATAAGGTTGTGAGGTTAAGCAGTCATGTGCAGGACATAACGATTCCGTGGGTGAGCCCAGAACCAGAGCATCATGTGTCAGCTCTGCCTTTATAAAAGCCTCACTGGAAGGCAGGGAATGCCCATGATCTGCCCCTGCCTTCCCTTGAGGGCTGTCAAGTCTACACGCAATAGCCCAAAAGGGGTTCTCTCAATTCAACATCTGTATATAAAGTGACAAAAAGGACACCACTTGAATGAGATAATATCATGTTCTCCGAAACAATGGCCACATTCATCCTAGAGAAGGATCCACATCCTCCTTAGAAGTCAGAGTACATCTGCCTGAGAGGCAGGGAACAAGAAATGCACACAAAAAAGCCAGCAAAGCCGATGTACATGCACAAGTCAGGTCCTGGTAAAAAGCCAAACTCCAATGGACAAACAATCAGGAGTTTCTGCCAGAATTCACAGCCATGAATACAACAAAAGAAACCGAGTGCTTACAGGCTTGTCTGATCACTGATAAGGATGATTAACTAACGCTTGCGTTTTATATTTCTTATACTTGCTGTTTAGCCTAGGACTGTTGTTTGGGTAACTCTTGACATAAATTCAGGTTTGGACCTTTGGTCACATAAAATGGAAACTAGATATTTAAACTGAACCCTTTGTTCAAGTTTGTGAATTTTAAAAGAATAGTGTATTTATACTAAGTGTATTATCTGTCATTAATTTTGTCCTGTCAATATTTATTTTATTGGCAGAGGTTTCATCAAGAGGTCTATGAGTTCAGCTAGTACTTGTTCTTTCACAGCCAACCCATCAATATATGTGCAAACCCTGAATTTATATTATGATCCATGCTTCTATTGTAACTCTTCCTTGGTGTGTTTCTGTAACACATCAGTCATTATTCTTTCTAGAAAGATATGAACCATTTCACCCAGCGAAGCCTGAATTTAGCCACTTCTGGCTGTGCCATATCCCTGTAAATGCTGATGTATGGCTATGCCTGCAGTGACCTGTTCTTCAAAAGCGTACTTAAATTACTTTGGTTCTATGTGCACCTGCAAGGCCTTGACATGAATACAGTAACTAAAACAGCATGAGGGGAACGGAAGGTGGAGGGGGTGCCATAATGATGATAACAGCTTTCTGAAAGCCAATTTGATGTCACCTTTCCTGTCAGCCTCAGGGAGCCTCAGGGGGCCATGGCATCAGTCACATGATATCAGAGGTTAGGTCCACAGAGATGGTCATTCTTTTCTAGATTTTTGTGAGGATGTCTATAATTCCCCCCTCTCCCCCCATATGTTGTCAACAGCTTGCCTTCTTTTTTTTTTAAGTTCTAGTGACCACCCAGGATTATTTGGATTTTGTCTTCTTGTGTTTAAAGCTATTTAAACGATGGTCATAGGTAATTTGGAGTACTCTGAAATATGATTTTGTTTATCTGATTTCTAGTTTCTCAAAACTGATGGAGTGGTAACAATCAGATGTTTAAACAAGTAGGAACATTCATATTTACTGTAAAGTTAACACAAAGCCCATTCATGAATGAAGCCAGTGACTGCACACAAAGATATGGTCACTTAATAATAAGTGAAGCATCTATGTATATGCAACATAATAAATGGTAAAAAGTGGCACATAAATACAAGAGTAAAAGTTACCTCAAGTAACTGATGTAAAACTGGAACAGCATCTTGTGGTTTCCTTAAGTTGTTCACAAGCATGAGTGCTAGATTGAATAAAGCGCTGCGAAACGTCGGGTCAAACTGTAAACAAAATGTCACAGAATATCTGATCTGATCAAGCAATATTCAGCAAATGTAACATGAACAGACTATTCATCGAATGGCTGATGAATTATTGAAATACTACAGGCAGAAATAATACATTGCACACTTGTTTGCCTGCTACGTTCTGCTGCCTCTTGTCCAGTGTTGCACACTTGTTTGCCTGCTACCTTCTGCTGCCTCTTGTCCAGTGTTGCACACTTGTTTGCCTGCTACCTTCTGCTGCCTCTTGTCCAGTGTTGCACACTTGGTTGCCTGCTACCTTCTGCTGCATCTTGTCCAGTGTTGCACACTTGTTTGCCTGCTACGTTCTGCTGCCTCTTGTCCAGTGTTGCACACTTGTTTGCCTGCTACGTTCTGCTGCCTCTTGTCCAGTATTGCACACTTGTTTGCCTGCTACCTTCTGCTGCCTCTTGTTCAGTGTTGCACACTTGTTTGCCTGCTACGTTCTGCTGCCTCTTGTCCAGTGTTGCACACTTGTTTGCCTGCTACCTTCTGCTGCCTCTTGTCCAGTGTTGCACACTTGTTTGCCTGCTACGTTCTGCTGCCTCTTGTCCAGTATTGCACACTTGTTTGCCTGCTACCTCCTGCTGCCTCTTGTCCAGTGTTGCACACTTGGTTGCCTGCTACCTTCTGCTGCCTCTTGTCCAGTGTTGCACACTTGGTTGCCTGCTACCTTCTGCTGCCTCTTGTCCAGTGTTGCACACTTGGTTGCCTGCTACCTTCTGCTGCCTCTTGTCCAGTGTTGCACACTTGTTTGCCTGCTACCTTCTGCTGCCTCTTGTCCAGTGTTGCACACTTGTTTGCCTGCTACCTTCTGCTGCCTCTTGTCCAGTGTTGCACACTTGTTTGCCTGCTACCTTCTGCTGCCTCTTGTCCAGTGTTGCACACTTGGTTGCCTGCTACGTTCTGCTGCCTCTTGTCCAGTGTTGCACACTTGGTTGCCTGCTACCTTCTGCTGCCTCTTGTCCAGTGCATTACAACAGAGTTACATCAACATACAGTTAGTAGTTAGTCAACAGATCATTCTCACTGCACACTGAACCCTTCAGTTCATGACTGCTTGGATCCCCTCCTGAGTAAATGTGCGTGTAGGGGCTAATGACAACAGTTCTATGTTGATTTATTCTTCTTTTTTGGCTTCTTGCATGTGGCGAGATGCCGCTTCAAGTAGAGGTGAAGAAAGGGATGCTTTGAGGCAGAGTGGCAAGCTTTACTGGAAAAGTCACGGGTAGTGAGCATACTTTTAATCTTTCTCCAGGCAATGCTAGCATGGTGGGTAATGAACAGGCAGACAGACTGGCTGAATCTGCACCACTGGGTGGTGAATTAATACATGACAAGGCAGATGTGGTCAAGGCTCTTTGGGGGAAAAGCAACGGAATCAGTAGAGATAGAAGATTATTGTGGCCTGGAGAGAATGAGGCATCTGGGTGTAACCAGAGGGTCTGGCCAGCTCACTACACTCAGAGGAAAGGCTGTATTGATATCTCCCTTGTGTATACAGTTTATACTTCTCTGTCATTTGACATTTTTTCAATATACCCCAACCATTTCGGTTTGGTAATCTGGTAATCTTAGTTTCAGCTTCATAGCAAATGGATCATCCCATAGCTGCTCCGCTCCTATGCCAACGAAAAACACACAGAATGTTCATCACAGTCCCTTGTGGAAAGATTGACAGACTGCTGCCTCAGCATATTTAGCATTCGCACGTATTAAAGCATACGGTAGCCATCCGAAGTGCTAACACAAACAGTCCGACATTAGAAATGCAGTTTATCATCGACGGTAGCAGAAGTCACCAACAGATCAGCAGTTGCACACGCAATCAATTTTAATCACATAATGGCACCACCCATATTGTGACAACAGGTATCGCACTATTTTCTAAATCTACAATTCACACTACCACGTTAGTCACAGTAAAAAAAACCTTCCAAATGAAATCCGCAATTCATAGGGTCGTGCCATGCACTCAACTCAGAAGCTGGGCGACGAAACTATCTTTTCAGTCCACAAATGGAGCAAAAATGCACTGGCCACCACCTGGCAGAAAACACAAATTTGCCCCCGCTCCCAACAGTGACCGTGCCCAGTGTCCATTTTTACCGGGAATTCTGTCTGAACATTTCGGTCTATTAGCTCATGATGCCAGTGATCAGTGGTGATTTAAACAGATTATGAATTTTGTTTCTGCTTCTTACTTTCCATTCCCACTGTCTGCATCGCTGATGTGTCCCAAGATTCATCGTAAGACTCCGTTTTTTAAAACCCATAAAAAGGCTCCATCTCTTTTAGTTGTGCTCCAAGTTTCAGAGCCATATAACACGACTGGTCTTATCAATGGTTTATAGATTTTGATCTTAGTGTTGCGAGACAAACACTTTGACTTTATCAGATGTTGAAGGGCAAAGTACACTTTATTTCCAGATTGTATTATTGAAACCATTTCTTCTCTCAGCATGTTGGACCAGTTGAAGTTTGCACCCTAGTACTTATATGTTTCCGTGTTTTATTTTCATATTATCGACGTGTATGTGGCCGGAGTTTAAATCCTTTCCCTGTCTAGTTATTATCATCTATTCTGTCTTATCTTGATTGATAACTAGTCCCATTTTCTGAGCTGACTCTTTTAAGAGATTTAGTGTTTTAACAGTTTCTAATTCATTTTGTCCAACGATATCAGTGTCATCTGCATATTCAAGAATTCTTGGAGATTCTCCGATTGTACACTCTTGTTTCAATTTCCTTATAATTTTCTCTAGGGCCAAATTAAAAAGAAGTGGGCACATAGCATCAAATTGCTTTAGACCGGATGTTTTTTGAAAAGCGTCTGACTTTCTGCCTTTATATATTACTATATTACAAGAAAAATGGCCAACAACGGAGAGAGATTTTGTGACTTCAGCCAATCTAATAACCTAATAATTAGAGGAACACTTCCCTCTCAAAACAATTCATAAGGTCACTTGGAGATCTCCAGATGGACACACAGAAAACCAAAATGACCATATTCTTATAAATGGAAAATGGAGGCATTTCCTGCAAGATGTCAGAGTACGTAGATCAGCGGATATAGGGAGTGACCATAATTTACTTTTTGGAAAAATCAGGTTAAAATTAAGGAAAGCTAAAATAGGAGAACAAAAACCGCAGTGAAATAATGTAGGAAAATTGCATGACACAAATATCAAACAGCAAATCAAGATAGAACTCAGAAAATTAAAATGTAATATTAAAAGACAAATGTTAGATGCAAAATCAGTCAAGACTGAGAGGAACATTTTCTTTAGAATATGCACTAAAGAACAATGAGGTTAAAGCAGAAGCAAGAGCAGATAAACTTTCATATATTGGAAAACTAGTAACAGGAGCAGAGGAAGCAGCAAATAAGCAGGACATCAAAACATTGTACAACATAACTAAGAAACTGACAGGAAATGTGGTATCGCACCAACATTTGCCCTTTAAAAACAAAGAGTGGGAAAATAATTACAGCCGAGAAACAAAAATGAGAAAGGTGGAATAAACACTTCCAGGAATTACTAAACAAAATGTCCCTAATTAACATGTACATCTCAACAGCAGAAAATAAAACTTGTGACTGCCATGGAAATGTCAGATTTACCACAGGCTCGTTTTGTACGTACAACATGAGATTGTTCATTTCAACTGTCACAGCTGTTACCAGATTCATTCAATGTCCATTTTTCTTGACTGTTCTTGACACATTCGCAGGATCTCCCCTTGATTTTTTATTAGCTCTCTTGTCTTGTCCACTAAGTTTTCCAGTATAGTTTGTGCCATATTTAGTACTCCATTGAAAAAGACTTTGGTCAAAATGTTTGGCTGTGTTTGTGTGCATCTTTTCCATTTCTTCCTATGAGCTTTCTGGTCACATTTTTTTTATATATTTATCACAAAAGTTTTGCTGGCAGACGTTTTGGGCTGAACAATGCAGATATTGCAGTCTATTTCTAAATCATGACATGATTTGTCTCAACTGCTCTTTAAAAGGCAAACACAAAAAAAAAAAAAAAAAATAAAGAAGGAGGAGAAGAAGATACCACAACAGTGACAATAAAACAAAACAGCATCATAAGTGTGCAGCAAAGACATCTAGTGAGAGCAGAAACCAGCACAGAAGGAATAGTCAATATTCTTCACAGAAAATTACATACAAACTGAAGTTATAATCAAGGGTTTCTACAGTTAAGAGTGGCTGCAAATAAAAAAAACATTTACAAGGGTTAAAACAAAGTATTAATTTAAAGATCTTTAATTAAGTATGAAGAAACTCAACATGCACTGATTTGTTATTTCCAGGAGTTTATCTACATGATAAAGACTATGTTTGCCTGGTGTTTTTCATACCTCAATTTATGATACAGTCATACCTCAATTTATGAAACAGTCATACCTCAATTTATGATACAGTCATACCTCAATTTATGATACAGTCATACCTCAATTTATGATACAGTCATACCTCAATAGCCTTCCTGAAGTGAATTTCAGCAACCTCATAATTTTGCTTATCCATTTCCAGCATGGCAGAGTTAAAATATACTTTTGGGTCATCGCCTCTTCTTGACTTCAGCTTTTCTAATCTGTTAGGGGATAATACACACATATATACACACATACACTAGGATAATAGAACACACATATATACACACATACACTAGGATAATTGAACACACATATATACACACATACACTAGGATAATAGAACACACATATATACACACATACACTAGGATAATAGAACACACATATATATATAAACACATATATACACCCATACACTAGGATAATTGTACACACATATATACACACATACACTAGGATAATAGAACACACATATATATATACACACATATATACACCCATACACTAGGATAATAGAACACACATATATATATACACACAAATATACACACATATATACACACATACACTAGGATAATTGAACGCACATATATACACACATATACTAGGATAATTGAACGCACATATATACACACATATACTAGGATAATTGAACGCACATATATATACACACATACACTAGGATAATAGAACACACATATATACACACATACACTAGGATAATAGAACACACATATATATACACATACACTAGGATAATTGAACGCACATATATACACACATACACTAGGATAATAGAACACACATATATACACACATACACTAGGATAATAGGATATATAACACATACACTAGGATAATAGAACACACATATATACACACATACACTAGGATAATTGAACACACATATATACACACATACACTAGGATAATAGAACACACATATATACACACATACACTAGGATAATAGAACACACATATATACACACATACACTAGGATAATAGAACACACATACACTAGGATAATAGAACACACATATATACACACATACACTAGGATAATAGAACACACATAGAACACATACATAGGATAATACACACATATATACACACTAGGATAATAGAACACACATATATACACACATACACTAGGATAATAGAACACACATATATACACACATACACTAGGATAATTGAACACACATATATACACACATACACTAGGAAAATAGAACACACATATATACACACATACACACAACAGAAACAGAAAACCCATGTCTACATTTTCAGTCACTAATAACACCTCCCAAATAGTGACAGGTAGATGAGTTCAATTTGCAGATGTCAGTCTGGCTGAAAGGTAAAGTTCAACAGTGCTATTCTTGTTGATATCAATGGCCTGGTGAAAGACCTGCCTACAAGAGTAAAGGCTGCCCTGTATGCAGGTGATCTGGCACTCTGGTGTACTGATGAACACACCACAGTGACAAATCTAAGAATGCCACAAGCAGCAGATACCCTAATGACATGGGGAGAAAAGTGGCATGGTCTAGCTGACCATGTTCTTAGTGCACTTGTATCCATGGCAAGGCACACACGCCGTCTGGAGGTGACAGGTTCAATTCCCGGCATGGTAACAATAACTTTCGATTTTTATGATGTCTAGTGTGTTCTTCTATCTTACTACTTCTTTCTATGAGTGCCGTTCAATGCACTTTATGTTACTTGATTAATTCATAATATTTAACGGCCTCCAAGGTTTCCCCCTGTTTATTTAAAGAAATGATGTATACACACCGGAACCTACCAATCAAATACCTTTCTTAAATGTTTGTGTATTGTAGACAAAGCATTAGCGTCTACTGTGTTCGTAAATTGTTGCAAATATTTTTTTTGACATATGCTTCGTTAATATAAATTTCTGTAACCTATGGTGCATTTCAATGGTTTGAAATGACTTCTGTCTGTATTCCATAGTTGTGGATTTCAAGCTGTACAATAGACATGGCCAATAAGACACCTTTTTTGGGGGTGCCTAGTTGACCATGTTCTTAGTGCACTTGAATCCATGGCAAGGCGCACACGCCGTCTAGAGGTGACAGGTTCAATTCCCGGCACAGTAACTATAGCTTTTGATTTTTATGTTGTCTAGTGTGTTCTTCTATTTTTCTACTTCTTTCTATGAGTGCCGTTCAATGCACTTTATGTTACTTGATTAATTCATGTTGCCATCAACACAGACAAAACATCCACATGCTTTTCTCTCTATCCCCCAGGGACAAAGCCGCTAGTATTCACCTAGGAACATCCTTGCTAAAGGAAGAAAGCTTCCCCACTTATCTTGGAGTAACATTTGATAAAAGGCTCACATGGAGCAAACATATAGAAAATGTAGAAGGGAAGGCTAGGAGACGACTAGGCCTACTTAGAAAACTGGCAGGTACAGGATGGGGAGCGAATGAAAAAACCCTAAAGAAAGTTTATAATGGAGCGATAAGACGCCACTTGGAGTTTGGTGCAACAACTGCTAATTCCCATCTACAATCATTAGACAGAGTGCAAAATCAAGCCCTTAGACTCATCACAGGATCCATGAAAACTGCACCAATCATGGTGATGCAGAAAATAACTGCAATGCTGACACTGTCCTATAGAAGAGACACTAAAACTATGATCCAGATGGAGAAGTTTAATAGTAAGCAGTCTCACCCAATTAAAGCAAGACTAGATGATCTGGCATTGGGGCATCTCAAACGTAGCAGCTTTGTCCATCAGGGGAAAAGACATAGAAGACAGTATCAAGCAGATCTTACCCATGAGAACAACACCGCTGAAACCTACCCTATACCCTGTACCTTGGGAGCAAGTCAGTGATACAATACAGATAATGACTTCAGTCAATGGATTCACAACTGGAGATGAGCTCAATGACCTTCAAAAACGAACAGCTGCTCTTAGCATGATTCAGGAAAACTATCCTGAACAGTCGTGAATACATGCTTACACAGACAGATCAGCAACCAGTGCTGTTAAAAATGGGGGTGCTGGAGTCTTTATCACATAACCAGACAACCACCATCACACAAAGTATATACCTACTGGTAAATTCTGTTCCAACTACACCGCAGAGATCCTAGCACTAGAGCAGGCTGCCGAAATGTTTCAATACACCAGTTCAGACTGCCACCAAGTGGTCATATTCCCAGATGTGCTATCGGTGCTTCAAGCCCTCAAGAGCGGCAAACTCCATCACTTGAGATCTGAACTTGGCAAGGTGGCTGCCCAAAAGTGTACTGTACTTCAGTGGGTGCCATCCCACTGTGGTATACCAGTAACCAATGTGCAGATAAACTTGCTAAGAAAGGGGCAGAATGTGACCAGGAAGAGAATGCAGTAACATACTATGAGAGGAAAATGGCCATCCAGGCTATCAGAAGTGAACAAAGTCTGACCAGAGATGACTACCACTTACTTGACCAGCATGGGCAAGTCATTATCCTACGTTTCAGGACAGGACATAACAAACGTAACCAGCATATGCACAGGCTTCATCTAAGTAGTTCACCTTTGTGCCCATGTGGGCTGTGTGTGCAAACTACAGAACATGTCCTGCAAAACTGTCCCTTGTTCAGCCCATCAAGAAGGGACTACTGGCCCAGTGAGTCACCACTGCACACAAAGTTGTAAGGGACTAAACAGGAACTCATAAAAGCAGTCAAGTTTATCACAAGAACCTGTCTGTCAGTGTCAATCAGAAAGCGAACACAAGAAGAAGAAGACTGTGCTATTTGGCACAAATTTGTCTACGCATTAATTTAGATTAATGCTAACAGTTATTAAAAGTTAACATTCGCTGGTGTTATATCCCCTGAGTATTTGCAATGAGCATCCTACATTCCTTGAAGAAATTAATTTGACAAAACTATTTTTAGCTGTCATCTCCCTTGAAACTTAGGGTCTGTTGTTTTCTTTGAGCTGACAGCCAAAGAACCAGAACCAGGTGCTTGCATACTATGAGTCAGAACTGTTAAATGGATGCGCATGTAAAGTTCAAGTTCTGGATCAAGTCCAAGGCCCAGAGGTGGACGAACAACCAGAACTTTCCACCTACACCACAGACAATATATGTGTATGTTTGTCTGTCACATTGTAAACTACTGGTGTTAGTATTACTGGAGGCAGCAAGTCTTTGGGGCACTCAGGGGAAGTCACTAAACATACAGCAGCTGTGGGGACAAAGATGAAGCAGAGGATGGCAGATTAAAATCTGACAATGCTTAGCAATTAATTATAGGTTATTAATTAGACCCCCTTTTCAACACATGCTGAAAATATGTGAAATCACATTAGTCATAATGCCTGTGATACACTTACAACAGGAGGCAAACCTATCCCAGAATTCAGATTTGGTCAGACCAGTGTTTTAAACTGTGGAGGTGCTCGGGCCGTAGAGGAGGCAGACATTTTATTGATCATATGGGGGAGGGGGAGGCTGCCAACAGTCAAAACTGTAACCCTGAGTCAAGATCATGGAACCTCCAGGAGCCTCCTGGACCAGTTCTCCCATAGTGGGCACCATCATCCCCTAGAAGTGCTGGAGCTGCTGAAGGGGTGGTAGCTTTATCAGCCAGATTTTAGGGGTGGTGAAACTGTTGCATGACTTGGGAGTAAAGTATACTGAAGCATTTCTATGCTGCCTTTGATGATACATATATATATAAATACATACATACACACACATATATGTATGTATATATGTGTGTGTATGTATATGTGTATATATGTGTAAGCAAGTATTAATGTATGCACGTATGTATGTATGTGTACATATGTACACATATATACACATATACATACACACACATCTGTGTGTATGTACATGTGTACATATTAACACGCGCACACACACGCACGCACGCACGCACGTGCACACACGCATGCACGCGCGCACACACACACACACATATATATATATATATATATATAAGTGTATAGATATATAATCAGATGATTTTTGAGTTTTTAAAAATGTATAAAGGGCACAGTTTATATATATATATATATAGGGAACAAGCAAGTGATATCTCTATCTAGTGATGTCTCATGTGAGCTGACAAAGAAATGTTTATTGTGTAGTCAGTCTTCTGGCACATAAATCACTTTCAACTTGAGGTCAGTTCCAACCCACAACCAGACAACATGTTAAACATGCTAGCACATAAGTCTGGTTATCTGGTGATCATTATCATAAGCCCTGCCTGTACGTGTAAGCAGTCATATATTGTGATCTCAAGCAATCACCAGAACCACAGATCAAGTCAGTGTTTGTTTTGTCCAGAAATACACATGTAAATTTTTTTCTACTCCAGGAATGCCTCGTGGTCTCAAGGCAGGAAGAGATTTCTAGAACGGGCCCTTCTGTTTGCTTCGTATAAAGTACTTTTTAGTGTCTCTGATATTTAGGTCCACTTCTGTATGTTACAGCTGCTTCTGTATAGCAACAGCTGCTTCTGTATAGCAACAGCTGCTTCTGTATAGCAACAGCTGCTTCTGTATAGCAACAGATGCTTCTGTATAGCAACAGCTGCTTCTGTATGTTACAGCTGCTTCTGTATGTTACAGCTGCTTCTGTATAGCAACAGCTGCTTCTGTATGTTACAGCTGCTTCTGTATAGCAACAGCTGCTTCTGTATGTTACAGCTGCTTTTGTATAGCAACAGCTGCTTCTGTATGTTACAGCTGCTTCTGTATAGCAACAGCTGCTTCTGTATAGTAACAGCTGCTTCTGTATAGCACTGCTCTCTGTGGTGACCTGCCTGATGCCTATCCTGTTACACAGCCAAACAAAATGAGCACAACAGTTAATTCTATCAACAGTTAACAATAAGGAGAACATTTTACCTTTGCAACGCTACATCCCTTTCTCTAGGGTCACCCCCTTCCTGCATCAAAATGGCCGAGTTATAAAGTGATTGCTAGAAAAGATGAGAAAATATAAATATTTAAAGAAATATTTATAAAACTGCAAGCCTGCCATTCTTAGAATATTTTATGTAGTTTATAAATGAGGTACTGTCCCATCCAACTAGGTCTGACAAATAATGTCACACTAACTCTGTTTTTTAAACTGGTAAATGATAGATTCATGAAAAACAAAACTACTGCTAGAAATAGAATTAAACTGACTGGATTGAACAGCTTGATGACCAAAGTTTCACAAGCAAGTGTGACCATCTATCTAATTTTGACGCCCGGCTCAATAGTGCAGTTGGTTAAACTTGACTGAGCAGCGACTAGGTGATGAGCTCCCTGTAGTCCTGGTTCATGCCTGGGGTTAGGCAGAAAGGCCTAATTTCTCCCAGATTTATGGTATCTATCATGGAATCAAAGCCGAAGGGTTGCAATATCCATAGTACCAAGTCAAAGGGTTGACAATTCATGGTTTCTGGATACTTTGACATTTAAAAAAAAAATAATCATAGATCAGAGCAGTACTCTTGTTCCCCCTCCCCCCCCTTCCCACCCCCTTTATCCATATGGCCAGGCCGTGACTGATATGTATATAAATAAAATATAAAATATCTTGCTAGTAAATTCCTACTACAGCATTATCAAACATCAAACAGGAAGGAAAACACTGGTAACATAATAAATAAAGCAGATAGGTTTGTTGCGTATCCTTTACAGGACGTTGCAGAACCAACCCCACAGCCCCTGGCTGTTGTGTAGTTTTCCTAGGCAAATTTACGTCCAGTAGTTTGCCACTGCTTTCTGGGCGGTCGGGTTCCTTGATACCACTGTCGAAACCAACACAAGGCACATGGCCCACAGCTGGGATTGAAACCGGCATCCCTGCATTATGAAGCGTTCACATCGACTTAGCCACAGTAATAGCAGATACAGCTACGAAACTGTAACAACATCTCACATCCATGAATAAAGAATGTGAAACAAATAATACGAGAATCAAAACTGAAAAGACAGAAGGAATGTTAACAGGAAGAAAGAAGCAGATCTTAAATATAGTAGTAAAATGCAAAGCACTAAATTGGCATCACAGTTTTTTAATTTTGGAACAACATTCACCAAAATTAGTAAAGTGGGTGAAGAAATTAACATCTGGTACTGTCGTAGAACAAGTTTCTTTGTACACACTATAGGGGTGGGTGTGGGTTTAAATCCTTGCCCCTGATGCAAGTGGGAAACCAAGACAACAGTCTTGTGGTGCAAAGTGCCGACAGTGTTTCCCTGGATACTCACATACAGACTCGAACTGGCTCGTGAAAGAAAGTGAGCTGCCTGAATATCCCCAGAAAAGGGAAAAGGGAATTTAGATGTCAAGCAAGCACTTACTAAATGAAAAGCTGGACAGAGCAGATTACCCCTCCCGACAATTTCCTTTTCTGGTCATTAAATTATGTAATGAAATATAGGCAGAAAGGGGTTAAATGAACAAGCATACATTTCAGACCCCCACACGGCGTACTAATCCATCACTGTGTGAAATGACAGAAATAGGTGATTAGAAAGCCATGGCCTAGCCAGCTATGCAGAACACACCGCCATGACATCTGACAGTGAGGGATGAAACATTCGACGAGTGCCCGTGAACTGTGACCAGCTGATGAGATACGTTCATCCAAACGTGACCACCAAAGACAGGTGACAGAGAAGTGATGGAGAAGGTACGCCAGAAAGAGCGGGAAAGCGGGGGAATAAAGTTAGTCCCGGAACCGCTGGAGAGGTTAGTTAGTCCCGGAACCGCTGGAGAGGACAGTTATCCCCGGAACCGCTGGAGAAGAAGTTAGGGCTAGACCGCTAGAGAAACCGGTTAGGAGAAAACTAGTGCGTTACTTCGTTAGAAGGTATATGTTAAACTTGGAGTTTAGCTAGAACAGTGAGTTAGCCCGGGGACCGCTTGATAGGACAGGTTAGGGCTGAACCGCTGGAAAGACCGGTTAGGAGAAAACTAGTGCTTTACTTCGTTTAGAAGGCATATGTTGAACTTGGAGTTTAGCCATAACAGTGGTTAAGGAACTCGTAGAGGCATACGAATAGCCAGTAATAAGGAGTGTTCATATACTATTGCTTATTGAATTTATGAAGTCTGTGTGACGAGAATATTGTAAATAAACCAGCTCTTGTGTAATTGATTACATCACTGGCCTTGTTCTTGAGTACGATTGAAGAGAGCTACGAACTATATTCATTCCACTTGGCCGACTTAGGCACATCTATTTCTTGGGGGATGTATAGGCACGACTGTGCCACAAGTGTGAGGATATTTGGAGCCGTGACCAACGATCAGTCTTGTGTACTCGACATCTTTAAAAAACAAGACTGCTGTTACAACATAACAAATAAGCAACTGCTATAAAAAGGTGAACTAAAAGCAAGTTTATGATTGTACCTGCTGAGTAAAACAAAAAAGTCGATAAACCCGTCATCAGATTGGAGAGACGTAAACCAGACCAACAGCCTGCACCACCTTTTGGAGCCAACCGTCTACACTAGAATCGGGGGGACACGCCCGTTCTAGCCTGGAGTAAACCGTCTACACTAGAATCAGGGGGACACGCCCGTTCTAGCCTGGAGCAAACCGTCTACACTAGAATCAGGGGGACACGCCCGTTCTAGCCTGGAGCAAACCGTCTACACTAGAATCAGGGGGACGCGCCCGTTCTAGTCTGGAGCCATAATATAAACTTTTCCTAACTTTACACACTCGGAAGACTATAGGAAAGTCAAGAACTGTGAGCTGTCCGATTTTACAAATAGGAACTGCAAAAGTAGCGCGATTTTAAAGAACCTTGAACATTAACATTAATTAGTTTAAATATATTGTGATTTTCAATTTACAGTGGTGTAGGGAAAACATTTCTTATCTTTCCCTACCTTTCCTATTAACTTAGAAAATAATTCCAGGACAGTGCCGATTTTTAATTACAGTGTGTTGTGAAAAGAGAATTTTTTTTTTTTTTCAGACCGCACTCAACAAGGTAATTTGACATTTTCTGTTTTTTCAATTTTAATTTACTTGCATTAGTTAATTTCCCAGATTTTTTTTAAATGGCAGAACAGGGAACAGTAGAAGCCCAGTTTAGCAGAGTTTTAGGAGAAGTCAGCAAGGCTGTCTCCAGATTAGATTGTAGCGTTCGGAGACAGGGAATAACAGTGGTTATTGAACCTTTCAGGGGAGACACAAAAAAGTTTAAAAAGTGGGTAAACGAGATAGAAAAGTATGCTTTCCTTTCAGGTGCGACAAGTTTCGACATCAAACGTTTAGCATACCAGATGAGTTCTTCCCCGGTTTCAGAACACATAAGAAGAAGATTAGAGCAGAATGAAGAAGAAACATGTGAAGAACTGAAAAGAGATTTAGCACAAAATTTCAGCGACGTCACAGACAGACAGATGGCCTTTTCCCTCTTACGACAGATCAAACAGGGCAAAGATGAGAGCATACATAATTATTCGCAGAGAATACAGAGTCTCGCGCAAGATGCATTTCTTAAAGAAGAGATACAATCACAACAAACTCAGCTTATTTTAGTTTCAGTCTTCAGTGACAATTTAAGGGACAGTTCACAAAAACTTCGTTTATTGCGTTCTGGGCCAACAACTCTAGAACAGGCAGTAGCCATAACTCTTAAAGAAGAGAGTTTAAGACGAAAAGTGTTCCTTCAAACTGGAAGAAGAACAGAAGAAGAAGAAGATACTAGGTTGACGGAACCCATGGACATATCATATTTTAGACCACACAGAGAAAGACACACAAATGAGAGACACAGACACTCTAACATACAGGCAGTGCAACACACTTTAACGTGTTATAACTGTTCAGGCCCCCATAAAGTCCGATTCTGCCCGGCAGGTAACCGACCCACAACACAGCCGATAAACCCATCGGTCGTTAACACGGATTTCAGAGGTAAAAGGTCGTGGCAGGTCAGTCACAGAAGTCAGGGACTTAACATACAAAATAACAGCGACTGGAGAAACAATTATTCGGGAAATGCGCACTCCGCTCGCCTGGCCGATTCCCAGCTGAGCGACGGACGAGACATAGCCTCTAAAAGTTCAGTAAGACACAAGAGAGATAACGAAATAAATAGGCAGAAGAGAGTTACAAACCATAGACAGATTAATGCATCAGGCAGCCCGTGTTGCTGTTTAATAGAAATCAACAATAATAAGTTTAATAGTCTGGTGGATTCAGGAGCAGATTTGTCACTTCTAAATTACTCGGTATTTAAGAGGATTAGAGGTAGTATATAGTTATATCACACAAAAGAGAACTTACAGTCTGTCACCGGAGCCAGCCTATCAGTTTTAGGTAAAGCCATGATTCCGTTTTCCATCGGTGGAATACATCTGACACATCCTTTTATCATAGTAAAAACAATGAACCGTCATTTAATTATAGGACGGGACATATTAGTTAAACATGGCATAAGGCTATATTTTGACCTTAAAAAGCTTAGAATTAGAGATAGGTACGTAGATCTTAGAGATGACATTCACATTGCTTCGGTGGTACGTGCTAAACAAACAGTCATCCTAAAATCTAATTCAATCAACGTAGTGATGTCGGGTTTAAAAAGAAACCCATATTTCCTGCCAGGTCAAACTATTTGAACAACAGCGCTTCAGGAAGCACTGTTAAAAGAACCGTGCTTATCAACTACAGATGGCATTGTAAAGTTAGGTAAAAGACTTTGTTTTCCGGTCCTTATCACAAACGCGACAGGGAAAACCGTAAAATTGAAGAAAGGAAATATTGTAGCTAACGTAGATAGAGATATTCTAGAGGTAAATAGTTCAACGGGAGAGGCAACGAGAGGAAGGAATAGCTATAAAATAGCAACGGTTACTACACATAAAATTAATGCTAATCGATTTACCTTTTTCCCAGGTAGGCGAAGATATGATAACGAGAGAGCAGACTACAATATAGATAAGCAGAGTTTCAGACCACAGAGACCGAATCCATACCATGACATTCAGGGTCAACTGAGGTCATGTGTACAAAACGGAAGTGGGCAAATAATTAACTTTAACAGAGCTGAGCGTTTACAAAAATTAGAAAATAACAGAAATATCAGAGCACAGGAGCAGTGGCGTAATTTTGGTAGCAGATATCAGAACATAAATAGAGTAGGAAATATCCATGATAATAACCGAAGTCGAGTTAGGTCATGTAATTCAGATACCAGATTCCGCATGATGAGATATTGATAGACAGCACTTGACTGACACCATACACGTCACTAGAAATACAATTAAACTACAATGAATGTAAATCCATTATAGGTATGTAAAAGAGGAGAAGGATGCAGGTCAAGAGGTAGATCAAGAACACGTGGAATGATAACATCAGACAAATTCTACAACACCAGGATGTGTCCGTGTCAAGGAGACCAGAAGAGCAAGAAGCAGAATCTCCCCCGACACCTGAAGAGGTAAAAAAGAAGCTGAAGAAGAAGAAGAAGATTATCAGACACAGAGTATTAATTTTATAAACAGTCCCCTTCCCCCCCCCCCCCCCCCCCCAAAAGCATTCTTCGTTTTTCAGATTAAGATCTTATTCTAACATTTTAAATTATAATTATCTTATCATGTGAGAATACAAAATATGCTCTATCATACAGATAAAGCAAAAAAGTTAACTTAAATAAAGTTAAACAAATTTACCATTTTATAACAAGAATAGACTAACTTAACATGAAAGTAAATACAACGAAAACTGATGTCAGTAGAATTCATAATCTGCTATATATAGGGCTGAATGGTACTTGTTTGAAGCAAGTTAAAGAATTTAAATATCTAGAAAGCATATTCTTGGAGGATGAGAATATATGACAAGTGATGACATCATCATAAAGCAACAAAAGAAATCTATGACAAGTGATGACATCATCATAAAGCAGCAAAAGAAATCTATGACAAGTGATGACATCATCTTAAAGCAACAAAAGAAATGTATGACAAGTGATGACATCATCATAAAGCAACAAAGAAATCTATGACAAGTGATGACATCATCATAAAGCAACAAAAGAAATCTATGACAAGTGATGACATCATCATAAAGCAACAAAAGAAATCTATGACAAGTGATGACATCATCATAAAGCAACAAAAGAAATCTATGACAAGTGATGACATCATCATAAAGCAACAAAAGAAATCTTTAACAAGTGATAACATCATCATAAAGCAGCAACAGAAATCTATGACAAGTGATGACATCATCATAAGGCAACAAAAGAAATCTATGACAAGTGATGACATCATCATAAACCAGCAACATAAATCTATGACAAGTGATGACATCATAATAAAGCAGCAACAGAAATCTATGACAAGTGATGACATTATCATAAAGCAGCAAAAGAAATCTTTGACAAGTGATGACATCATCATAAAGCAGCAACAGAAATCTATGACAAGTGATGATGTCATCATAAAGCAGCAATAGAAACCTATGACAAGTGATGACATCATAATAAAGCAGCAACAGAAATCTATGACAAGTGATGACATCATCATAAAGCAGCAACATAAATCTTTGACAAGTGATGACTTCATAAAGCAGCAACAGAAATCTATGACAAGTGATGACATCAACATAAAGCAGCAACATAAATCTATGACAAGTGATGACATCATCATAAAACAACAAAAGAAATCTATGACAAGTGATGACATCATCATAAACCAGCAACATAAATCTATGACAAGTGATGACATCCTCATAAAGCAGCAACATAAATCTATGACAAGTGATGACATCATAATAAAGCAGCAACAGAAATCTATGACAAGTGATGACATCATCATAAAGCAGCAACAGAAATCTATGACAAGTGATGATGTCATCATAAAGCAGCAACAGAAATCTATGACAAGTGATGATGTCATCATAAAGCAGCAACAGAAATCTATGACAAGTGATGACATCCTCATAAAGCAGCAACATAAATCTATGACAAGTGATGACATCATAATAAAGCAGCAACATAAATCTATGACAAGTAATGACATCATAATAAAGCAGCAACAGAAATCTATGACAAGTGATGACATCATCATAAAGCATCAACAGAAATCTATGACAAGTGATGATGTCATCATAAAGCAGCAACAGAAATCTATGACAAGTGATGATGTCATCATAAAGCAGCAACAGAAATCTATGACAAGTGATAACATCCTCATAAAGCAGCAACATAAATCTATGACAAGTGATGACATCATAATAAAGCAGCAACAGAAATCTATGACAAGTGATGACATCATCATAAAGCAGCAACAGAAATCTATGACAAGTGATGATGTCATCATAAAGCAGCAACAGAAATCTATGACAAGTGATGATGTCATCATAAAGCAGCAACAGAAATCTATGACAAGTGATGATGTCATCATAAAGCAGCAACAGAAATCTATGACGTGATGATGTCATCATAAAGCAGCAACAGAAATCTATGACAAGTGATGACATGTTTACCCAGTGATCAGGATCATGCTGTAAAGCTAACTCAAAATGTTTCTTGGCACTTGCTGTTTGGTTCAGCTCCAACAAGACCACTCCAAGCTAAGAGACAACACAAATTTGTTATGTACAATGTCTAAACTACAGATTTTAGTTGTCAATATTCATGAGCACAAGTCATTGTCTATGCTTTATTTGATATGTTCAGACAGACGTTCCCAACTTTGTAACTTCTTCTTGTTCTTCGTTCTCAGCCCTTGAGGTTCATTGCTGCAAATATCACCCACCTCCATTCCTCTCTCTGGCTGGCCTTCTCTGTCCAGTTGGTGACACCAAGTATTTGCAGGTCTGTCTGGATGTTATCCCTTTAACTACTGACACACGCCTACACTAAACATCCATTTAGATTTGGAATATTGTCTCTTCCTGGCGATAACTGCAAAAATATTATTTGTTTTCTCTATAGTCTCATGTCAAACCAATTCACAGCACCACGCATGCGCACCCGCGCGGGTGTCTTCTTGGTCTGCCTCGTGGTCTACGACCATTCTGTTCCTTTGTGTTTAAAGTTTTTATCTCTCTGTCATTTGACAATCTCTCGATATGCCCAAGCTATTTTAGTTTGTTAGATCTCAGGATGCCAGTGATCAATGGTGATATAAATAGATTATAAATTTTGTTGCTGCTTCTCACTCTCCATTCTCAATTGTTTGCATTTTTTATGAGTCCAAAGATTTGTTCTAATACTGTGTTTCTGAACATTTGTAATAAGGCTTCATCTCTGTTATTTGTGCTCCTAGTTTCAGAGCCATACATTGGTCTGATCAATGTTTCATCTAGTTTTGATCTTGGTGTAGAGACTTTGACTTGATGTCTTGATCTAGAACATGAGTTCTGCATGCACATCCGTTTACAGATCTCGCTTATTTATATGCAGACTGTTGGTTCCTGGCCTCTCTCATGCAGATGTACTTTGGCTGCAAAAGAAGCTTCTCCTTGATTAGCTGAATTTTATGACATTCTTTTTTTTTCAGTGGCGCTATTTCCCCCCTCCCCCCCCCCCCAACCCATAGAGGGAGAAAAAAGTTCAACAACAGCCCCCCCCTCCCCCCAGAACCCATAGAGGGAGAAACATGTTCAACAACAGCACCGCCCCCCCCTCCCCCCCAGAACCCATAGAGGGAGAAACATGTTCAACAACAGCACCACCGCCCCCCCCTCCCCCCCAGAACCCATAGAGGGAGAAAACATGTTCAACAACAGGCCCCCCCCCCCCCCCCCCACCCAGAACCTATAGAGGGAGAAACATGTTCAACAACAGCCCCCCCCCCCCCCCCCCCCCCCCCAGAGGGAGAAACAAGTCCAACAACAGCAACATAGCGAGGCAGGTGTAAACCATGGGACAACAAAACATAGGCCAAAGCAGGGAAGTTGTCTGAAAAGCTCATAGAGGGGCCTTTTTGTGAGAACCATTGTTCCTACATTAAAAACAAATTGCAATGTTTCAACACTAGCAACAAAATTATTTATGTTAATGTATTTCTTGCGGAGAATTTTCTCTAATTTTGTTATACATACTCGGAAATGACACCAGTCATAGAAAGAAAGTCAATTATAAAATGGTATCCACACTTAACAGCCTGTAAATAAAACCAGAAAATAGGGATACTAATTTCCTGAAAGGTGCACAAATCTTCGGATGAAATGAGCCAAACATACTTTCAACAATTACATAATAAGAAACCTGTGTAAATGAAATGCTTCTACTCAAATACTTCTGAATGACTCTAAAAATAAAACAATCAGCTAATTAGTATAGTTATATACAGTAATATACAACATACACCACCCATCAACTTCAGGACAAGAATGTGCCCAACAATGCAAAAAACAAAACAAATAATAATAACCTGGGCTTTTAAATGGTCACAGCCATTGAAGTTATCACAAATGCTCTCTTTGAAGCTAAACCACACCAAATGTTTACAACATGTAATAATCACACAGGCCTCTGTAGCTTAGGCGTAGCAAATCTGACTCATAATTCCAAAGTACCAGGATCGAAACCCACTGCTGGCTGCGTGGATTTTTATCATGGTATGGGGCATCACAGGTTGACCCAGCGTAAAATGGGTACCAGGATGTATGTCCTGGGGAAGTAAAGACGGCTGGCGTAATGCTGACCACATTACCCACCTAGTGCAGATTGGTTTGTAAAAATATGGGTGCTCTTCCCATATGCCCAATGCCCCTAAAGGCAGGACAAGGGATTTTGACTTACTTTACTAATAATCACACAATTTATTAAAATAAATTAAAACAGCACAAATAAATGACACCAGAAAAAAAGAAAGACCAGATACAAAAGACAGGACACTTACATTATAATACAGATCTGCATTTGTTGGATCCTGTCTGAGAGCAGCTTCATATGTGGCTCTGGCATCATCTAGTCTAGATTTAGTCAGAATATAATGTGGCAACATCCAGTCTAGATTTAGTCAGAATATAATGTGGCATCATCTAGTCTAGATTTAGTCAGAATATAATGTGCCATCATCTAGTCTAGATTTAGTCAGAATATAATGTGGCAACATCCAGTCTAGATTTAGTCAGAATATAATGTGGCATCATCTAGTCTAGATTTAGTCAGAATATAATGTGGCATCATCTAGTCTAGATTTAGTCAGAATATAATGTGCCATCATCTAGTCTAGATTTAGTCAGAATATAATGTGATATCATCTAGTCTAGATTTTGTCAGAATATAATGTGGCATCATCTAGTCTAGATTTTGTTAGAATATAATGTGGCATCATCTAGTCTAGATTTAGTCAGAATATAATGTGACATCATCTAGTCTAGATTTTGTCAGAATATAATGTGGCATCATCTAGTTTAGATTTAGTCAAAATATAATGTGGCATCATCTAGTCTAGATTTAGTCAGAATATAATGTCATACTGTACCACTAAGAATGTAGTCACTACAAGATGTGCAGTCATACACTGATTGAGGTAGTCATGTCAATAAATATGGGTTAACACACAGAAATATCCAAATATGAACATAAAAGGCAACAGGAGTTTTCATAGTTGTACAAGAAAGAAAATTGGGCTATCCTCTGAATAATGGGCACAAAAGATGGCTGCCGCAAAAACACCCATACTGAGGCTCAGTCACATGTCAATTGCGCATTTCTGGCGACTTAATTTGTGGTTTTCCGGTGACTACCACCACTGCCGAGAATATCCCCCACGCCGCTCATGCTAAACTAGATTGCTGCTGGGACTCACGAGCAGCAGCTTCCGCATCTCCTGCAGCTTTGCGGTGGCGGTAGTCGCCCAAAAACCGCAAATTAAGTCGCCAAAAGTGCGCAATTGACACCTGACTGAGGTCCTGTTTTTGGCCGGCATTGGCTGCCATCTTTTGTTCCCGTTATTCGGAGGATAGCCAAAAATTGTACCAAACTTAGAATTGTTAGTTCTATTCTCAAATCAGTAATGCTATGTACAGCTGAAATATTGTAAATGACTACCATTATTATTAATAAACTAAACACATTCATTAAATGTTATCTGCCTAAAATAAGAAGATATCATCATCATGTAGCAGGTCCTTTGCAGAATGTAGCTCTCATCACGGTCTGCCTACACTGGCCTTTGAAAGTGAAAGAAAAAGCACACTTGATCAATCACTCCAAATGGTACAGTTGCATCACGCTCCAAGTCATGTGCATGCTTTCCATGCTGTGACTGAGACATCCATGTAAAAAGTTTTATTGGCTTTCAGAGAATTCAGCTCAGGAAGTCAGACACACATTTTATGCATCTGCAGATGCTTCCTGTGGATCCCTAAAGGGCGCAGCATGTGATGAGTGGAAGGCTTAATATACGGATGTCAAGTTAAGCAGACATGTACAGGATGAGGCTGCTCTGTATGTATTCTCTAGGTGCAACACCTGTCAATCAAGGGATGACAAAGTCACCCCACAAATGACACAGTCAAATGTTAAAATAAGTAGGAAGATTACCTCAGACAATAAATGCCTGAAGAAATTAGATGGCAGTCAAAAAGTACAAATACCACAACTATGCTGTAAACTGGAACGATGCAATGACATTGCTTAGGTAAACAATGAAGAAGAAATCTATGTTATAAACAGTTGTTTTCTTTGACAATACCAGGACTTTTTCTTTTTGTTATCAATATCTGCTCTGTGCCACTAGGTGTCACTAGGTGTCACTAGGTGTCACTAGGTGTCACAGTTGAACAGTTGCCAAGCCAGCATTCTTCAATATTCCCAATAATCCAGCTAAAGCCCACAGAGGTTTGCTGAGAATACATTGAATAAATGGCCATAGACCCCAACAATGAAGACTAAGACTAGGAGATCTAGAACAACAGAGAGACTAGGAGATCTAGAACAACAGAGAGACTAGGAGATCTAGAACAACAGAGAGACTAGGAGATCTAGAACAACAGAGAGACTAGGAGATCTAGAACAACAGAGAGACTAGGAGATCTAGAACAACAGAGAGACTAGGAGATCTAGAACAACAGAGAGACTAGGAGATCTAGAACAACAGAGAGACTAGGAGATCTAGAACAACAGAGAGACTAGGAGATCTAGAACAACAGAGAGACTAGGAGATCTAGAACAACAGAGAGACTAGGAGATCTAGAACAACGGAGAGACTAGGAGATCTAGAACAACAGAGAGACTAGGAGATCTAGAACAACAGAGAGACTAGGAGATCTAGAACAACAGAGAGACTAGGAGATCTAGAACAACGGAGAGACTAGGAGATCTAGAACAACAGAGAGACTAGGAGATCTAGAACAACAGAGAGACTAGGAGATCTAGAACAACAGAGAGACTAGGAGATCTAGAACAACAGAGAGACTAGGAGATCTAGAACAACAGAGCATCTAAGTGAGGAGAAAGCTGGAACACTCAAGTAAACCAAAAGAGAGGAAGACGGACACCATGGTGAGTTAATTAAACTTTATCATTTTTTTTTAGAATAAGAAATAAGAATAATCATGAAAGGAAAACAGGGCACAAACAAATGCCAAGCAAGAATATGCAAAGGAACAAATAGTACCTCAGAGGTACAATTATTTATTATTAGGGATATTACTTGTATGGATAAATGTTTTCTGTGACATTATACAATGTGCTGTATTCTGAGAAGTCATATTAAAATGTGAACTTACCTGCCCAGTTTGACTTGTATATCCCCTAAATTAATGTATGCTTCAACAAAGTCAGCTCTCATTGTAATTGCTTGCCTCAACAACTGTAAAACAATGTTTGAAAAAAAAAAAGTCTGACACACACAACATACATATTTCTTTATAATAACAATAAATCTAAAAGCACAACATAAGAGAAGTTACCAAGGACGCATGATATCTGCATATTTCTATGATATCTATAAGGAACATGCAATGGCAGCAGTGATGAGAACAGCATCAGCTTTGATCCACTCATTATTTATGGAAATCCAATTCCACAACTCAGTTTTGCAGATAATACAGACCTCTCAAACAGGATTACAGCAGCTAATAATTACAGCAGCTAGTACTGTCGGCCAAAAGACACGGTGAAGATCACATTCTTTCTCTGAATTTGGCCCCCAAAAAAGTAAAATTCAAATAATGTTCACAGATGAAGCTTGATATAAACCAAAAATCACAGTTAACGATGAAAAACTGTAAATACTTTTGCACCAAAAAAAAAAATCAGCAACAATAAAGCATTCTCACTAGACATGAGAAAGAGACATATTTTAGCAATGCATAAGTAAAACCATATTACGAACCTTTGGTGCATCATCAACATAAAATATAATACAAAAATTTAAAGAATATACAACTGTTCTGTGGCACAATATGCAGGTGAGTCATGGAATATTTTAAATTCACTACAAAGAAAATAAGGACTTTTTTGTTGTCTCACTGATACCAGGTTGTAGACCAGTGTCGTGGTTTTCTGTATTTTTCTTGCGCCTCTTGGGTGGCTCGATAGATTTGTTTATCTGTTTACAGGTCTCAACTACACCATTTATCCATCTGGCCTTCCTCCCAGATGTTCTGCTGTAAAATATCTCATCAGCAGTTTGATCTGGCTGCAATCCCACTAGATAGCCAAATCCTGTCATTGTTTGTCTGTCAGACACAGTCTGATCTCAGCACAGTCTGATCTCAGCACAGTCTGATCTCAGCACAGTCTGATCTCAGACACAGTCTGATTTCAGCACAGTCTGATCTCAGACACAGTCTGATTTCAGCACAGTCTGATCTCAGACACAGTCTGATCTCAGCTGTTTCTCTAAAGCTGGCATTCATAACCCCGTCCCTTCTTGTGCTGTTAGTGACAATATTGAACTGAAATAAGCACTTGAACTGAAATAAGCATTGAACTGAAATAAGCACTTGAACTGAAATAAGCATTGAACTGAAATAAGCACTTGAACTGAAATAAGCACTTGAACTGAAATAAGCACTTGAACTGAAATAAGCATTGAACTGAAATAAGCACTTGAACTGAAATAAGCACTTGAACTCAACTGAAATGTTACAGGACAATTATTAGAGGATCACACAGGAGAACAGACAAACAATACTGATATTCTTTACGATCTGAATATACAGTAGTAGCTCGACTAATGGACTTAATTTGTTTCTGGCCGTGGTTCATATCTCGGAAAAGTTTGTATCTCAGAACCCAGTTTTACGACACCTGATGGAAAATCAATGAATCCATTCTCACAAGAACTGCCTGGTTATCCAAGCTCTGCTGTTACTTATCCACATAAAATTGAGTTTGTTAACTTTCTGTTGTTTAAAGACCAGGATTTTCAGAGTGATCAACCAACAAACGTATTATCTTCAGATCAACATGGCACTGGCACAAAAGAACAAAGTGAATATGTCTTTGATCAGCTTGCAAAACCATTTACTACTTATTGATGAATGGCGCGATTTCAGGAGAAAAGTAAACAAAATGTTGCTAACAGCAGGAAGGCTTGTAGGAATGAGCATCAGTGATGCATGAAATATGTGAAGTAAAACAGCAAGTGGGGAAAAAAACAACCTTATTATCAATGTCTAAGTTAACTTACAAGTAAATAGCTGAAAATATTCAACCAAAAGTTACGATATGGTCATGCACTGTTGGCTATTTAATAAATAAAAGCTTTCCTCACAATACCTGATCTGCTTCACTGAGTCTGCTGGGATCTTTAGACACCAGATTTGCTAGGTTTAGATATGCATTCAAATGACTTGGTGCTACTCTTGCTTGATAAGATTTTCCTGTAGTATACACAGTTTCATTGTTAAGAGAGGGTGGCTGGAGTATAAAGCTATTAAAACAACAGAAATAGATGAAACACTAAACACAATTTATGGTGCAGATCCAGCCAATCAGTCTGCCTGTTCATTACTCACTAACGCCGGCATGGCCTGGAAAAAAGATCTAAAGTATGCTCACTAATCGTGACCTTTCCAGTAAAGCTTGCCACTCTGCTCGAAGCATCCCTGTCTTCACCTTTCTCAGCAAGCTTTCAGAGCTGTTACAATTACGACATGTGTTTGCATCTTGTTCTCTAGCTAGATGTTGTGGTGTCATATGCTAGGCTGACTTGCACTAAAGATTCACTACGAACCCCTAGGCACTTTTCTTTTCTCTCAACACCGAACCATATGTATAGATAATCAGATCATCTGGGCATGAACTGTCATGAATCAACTGTTGGACTTCCACCTCCATAGCACCCGCTGGCCACTCTCTGCACACCTGGCCCATATCATAACCCTACGCAGGTCAGACTTTTCCGCTTTTACTCTGACCCACTCCTCTCCTTGCTCAATGTTCTCCAACATGCATACTTGTCTTGTGTTTTCTACTTGAGCCATCCATGATTTTCCCCTTTTCAGCCTCTGACCCTTACCTGCAGCCAAAGCTTCATACAGAAGGTGTTCCCTGTCTGCTGCTACTCTGAGGTATGAATTAGCCTGCAGCACCTTTAGCCTATCTGCAATAGTGCTTTTTGAGCTCTTGTCCCAACGCCCTCTATGTAATCCCTGAAAGACAAACTTCTGTCAAAGGTTATTCCCAGGTACCGCAGTCTGCTGTCTCTTTTGATGTCCCTGCAATTTATTTTGAGTCTGGAAACATCAGCTCTAACAATCCTGATGTCCAAAGAACACCACAGGATGGTTGCCTTTTCTAGGTTGATTACAGCACTTTTCTCTGTACGCATTTTCTACCCTTGCCTGTAACTCTTCAGCTATTTGACTCCGATTTCTCACCTTCCTATATATGAGAACATCATCCGCAAATGTCAATATTTTGATAACTCCAGGTGTTTCCAGGCAGGCAATCTTGCTCGTAAAAACATTGAACAGTACAGGTGAAATTGCAGATCCATGTGGTAGTAATATAGCTATAATACATGGTTCAGAAGTCCCTGAACCCAGGTGGAGAGCTACCCGGCAAGTATACAAAACGGCTGCTATCCAGTTCACGAACCAAGGACAGACTCCATTCTCCATAAGCTCTTTCAGATGTCAGGATCGACAGGAAAAATGGGGGGAAAAAAAAAAAAAATGCACTTTCAGTCACAATTTGTGGCATGCAGGCATCTTATATGTGGCCTTTCCAAGCCCTAAACTTTCACAAAGATTTTCAGAGATTAAAAATGTTTTTATCTTTTCAAAGAAATATCATTGTGTTTCTTGTTTAGTCTAGCATTATTTTGTATTGGAGGTCACCAGCGTCACCACTTGTAACAAGCTGTGCATTATACAAAGTGATCTTTTTGTCAGTGCAACTTGTGGTAATGTCACCATTTAATTATAATAGAATACATTCAAAAGAAAAGTGAAGAAATAAAATAAATGTCTAGGCAACGGCTGATAAAAACAGAAGTCACAGAAGATAGCAATAAACTGGGCAAAACCTGAGGAGAAGCAGAAAAAGAACAAACAAGCTGGCATTGAAATGGGAAACAAATCAAGTGAGGAAACAAGGATTTCCAATGGAAACTAGAAGATGAATGTTGAGAGATGCTGGACAAGATTCCGTCTGTGATCATGAACAAGATCCTAGAGAAAAGAACACAATAAACAAATGGATAGTGAATCCTTTGGGACATAAATGGCATAACAGGTTAATACTGATGAAGTGAACATTGGCACAAATTCACATATGATTTTGCTAGGAAAAAAACAGTCATACTTAAGTACTCTGTATTTAGCAGAAAAAACAGTTTACAGAATGAAATGTTCTAGCTATTATATATAAAGACATCTTCTGGACAACAAAGCTAAAGACACGATTTCAACTCACAGGTTCTAGATTTTTGTTGTTGACTAACCTGTAATGATAATATATCTATATTTGTATGGGTTGATATGATCATACCTTTGATTATGGGGGGAAAGAGCCCAATGGCTTTTGCATATGCCTTCTCAGCGTCTGCACTCTGATTGAGGTTGACAAAAGTCCGCCCAACATTAATGTGTGCACCAATGTCATCAGGCTGAACACTGAAAATATTGTTGTCAGTCAGCGTTGTACTTGTCTGCTATTCACATTGAACACAAACTCATCAAATATAAAACAATACAAAACTATAGTAGAAGATACTCAGGTAATAGCAAAATGAGTGTGATGTATTTTGTAAAACTGTTAGCAATACTGTGATTATGAAAAATATTCTGATAAAATTGGGATTCAGTCAAAACCATATATACAAGTGCATTGATAATTACACCATAGTGCTCTGTTTAAACTTATTAAAAAAATATTAATTGGAGTGGACAAACGCTAAGAAAACTTGAAAACATTATCTACAATTTTCTTGCACTGGAACCCACACAGTCAAAGAAATAAAGGCAGACCAAAAAACACACGAAGAATGGAAGCAGAGACTGTACCCAAAGTCAAAGAAATAAAGGCAGACCAAAAACACATGAAGAATGGAAGCAGAGACTGTACCCAAAGTCAAGGAAATAAAGGCAGACCAAAAACACATGAAGAATGGAAGCAGAGACTGTACCCACACACACAATAGAAGGGGTGCTACACATGCCAGCAAAGAACAGGATACTTGAGTGTGAGTTGTTTGAAGGGGAATAAGGGTCAAAGAGAAAACAAAGATCTATTATAAGAATGCTTCCATGCTCATTAAATGTTGAAAATGATAAACAAGAGTCTCACGACTTGCTTCATTTGTCCTTGAAATTAGTCAGAATTTGACTATAAGATCAACATTAGTAGATTTTATTTATATATATATATATATATATATATATATATATATATATATATATATATATATATATATATATATATATATATATATATATATATATATATATATATATATATATATATATATATATATATATATATATATACTTCACTTGTATCTCTAAGTCAATTCTATAAATTGTTTTTGTTGTTTTTTTTGTGGTGTTAATTTGCAAGAAAGTCAGTAGCAAACACAAAGAAACAGTTCAACAAGTCAACTAAAAAAAAAAAAAAAAAATACTGAGATCCTAAACATTGTTTGAGACCTTTTCATTTGTCCAGACGCTAGTTTTCCCATGTTGCTTTAGGGAAGCATGAGAATCACAGTCCATGATGAGGGTGAGTGCAACTTGCAAGACCAGACTGTCTTCAAGAAGAGTTGTCTGCAGTCAGTGCAAGACCAGACTGTCTTCAAGAAGAGTTGTCTGCAGTCAGTGCAAGACCAGACTGTCTTCAAGAAGAGTTGTCTGCAGTCAGTGCAAGACCAGACTGTCTTCAAGAAGAGTTGTCTGCAGTCAGTGCAAGACCAGACTGTCTTCAAGAAGAGTTGTCTGCAGTCAGTGCAAGACCAGACTGTCTTCGAGAAGAACTGTCTGCAGTCAGTGCAAGACCAGACTGTCTTCGAGAAGAACTGTCTGCAGTCAGTGCAAGACCAGACTGTCTTCAAGAAGAATTGTCTACAGTACGTGCAAGACCAGACTGTCTTCAAGAAGAGTTGTCTGCAGTACGTGCAAGACCAGACTGTCTTCAAGAAGAGTTGTCTGCAGTCAGTGCAAGACCAGACTGTCTTCAAGAAGAGTTGTCTGCAGTCAGTGCAAGACCAGATTGTCTTCAAGAAGAATTGTCTGCAGTACGTGCAAGACCAGACTGTCTTCAAGAAGAGTTATCTGCAGTAAGTGCAAGACCAGACTGTCTTCAAGAAGAACTGTCTGCAGTCAGTGCAAGACCAGACTGTCTTCAAGAAGAGTTGTCTGCAGTCAGTGCAAGATATTTCACAACTATTGTTGCTCTCACAGGTATTTGACATGTTCCTTCTAAGACTCTCAGCTCTTATCCAGCAATCCTGGTCTCTTTTGTCCATATTCTCTTTTTAATGATCCCTCTCCCTGCAACATGACCCATCGCATCCTGTTCCCACCACTGAACTGCAATAGCAGTTGTAGTTCTTAATACAAGTGGGTTCTTTTGCAAGTCTCTAATGAGAACCTTCCAAATCCTGGTCTTGGCTTGAATGAATGCATTAATTAAAAATGTACACACTTCTGCACTTGGGACATTCCCACATGTGCCCCCCTCCCCCCCCTTCCTCAAGTGTTTCCATACTGAAGGTACCAGCAGCAACCTCATCAACAAGTTTGCTAGCTTCTTCCCCTGCTGGAAGACAATCATCCAGACCCTGTGTTCACTCCCTGCTGAATCATTCACTCCCTGCTGGAAGACAATCATCCAGACCCTGTGTTCACTCCCTGCTGGAAGACAATCATCCAGACCCTGTGTTCACTCCCTGCTGGAAGACAATCATCCAGACCCTGTGTTCACTCCCTGCTGGAAGACAATCATCCAGACCCTGTGTTCACTCCCTGCTGGAAGACAATCATCCAGACCCTGTGTTCACTCCCTGCTGGAAGACAATCATCCAGACCCTGTGTTCACTCCCTGCAGGAAGACAATCATCCAGACCCTGTGTTCATTCCCTGCTGGAAGACAATCATTCAGACCCTGTGTTCACTCCCTGCTGGAAGACAATCATCCAGACCCTGTGTTCACTCCCTGCTGGAAGACAATCATCCAGACCCTGTGTTTTTGCCAGCAAGATGTTGTGACATTATTTGCCAGCTAGATGTTGTGACATTATTTGCCAGCTAGATGTTGTGACATTATTTGCCAGCTAGATGTTGTGACATTATTTGCCAGCTAGAGGCTGTGACATTATTTGCCAGCTAGATGCTGTGACATTATTTGCCAGCTAGAGGCTGTGACATTATTTGCCAGCTAGATGCTGTGACATTATTTGCCAGCTAGAGGTTGTGACATTATTTGCCAGCTAGATGTTGTGACATTATTTGCCAGCTAGAGGCTGTGACATTATTTGCCAGCTAGATGTTGTGACATTATTTGCCAGCTAGATGTTGTGACATTATGTGCCAGCTAGATGCTGTGACATTATTTGCCAGCTAGATGTTGTGACATTATGTGCCAGCTAGATGCCGTGACATTATTTGCCAGCTAGATGATGTGACATTATGTGCCAGCTAGATGCTGTGACATTATTTGCCAGCTAGAGGCTGTGACATTATTTGCCAGCTAGGTGCTGTGACAATATTTGCCAGCTAGGTGCTGTGACAATATTTGCCAGCTAGATGCTGTGACATTATTTGCCAGCTAGATGCTGTGACATTATGTGCCAGCTAGATGCTGTGACAATATTTGCCAGCTAGATGCTGTGACAATATTTGCCAGCTAGGTGCTGTGACATTATTTGCCAGCTAGATGCTGTGACATTATTTGCCAGCTAGGTGCTGTGACAATATTTGCCAGCTAGGTGCTGTGACAATATTTGCCAGCTAGATGTTGTGACATTATTTGCCAGCTAGGTGCTGTGACAATATTTGCCAGCTAGGTGCTGTGACAATATTTGCCAGCTAGATGTTGTGACATTATTTGCCAGCTAGATGTGACATTATTTGCCAGCTAGGTGCTGTGACATTATTTGCCAGCTAGGTGCTGTGACATTATTTGCCAGCTAGATGTTGTGACATTATGTGTCAGCTAGATGCTGTGACATTATTTGCCAGCTAGATGTTGTGACATTATGTGCCAGCTAGATGCTGTGATATTATTTGCCAGCTAGGTGCTGTGACATTATTTGCCAGCTAGGTGCTGTGACAATATTTGCCAGCTAGGTGCTGTGACAATATTTGCCAGCTAGATGTTGTGACATTATTTGCCAGCTAGATGTGACATTATTTGCCAGCTAGGTGCTGTGACATTATTTGCCAGCTAGGTGCTGTGACATTATTTGCCAGCTAGATGTTGTGACATTATGTGTCAGCTAGATGCTGTGACAATATTTGCCAGCTAGGTGCTGTGACAATATTTGCCAGCTAGATGTTGTGACATTATTTGCCAGCTAGGTGCTGTGACATTATTTGCCAGCTAGGTGCTGTGACAATATTTGCCAGCTAGGTGCTGTGACATTATTTGCCAGCTAGGTGCTGTGACATTATTTGCCAGCTAGGTGCTGTGACAATATTTGCCAGCTAGATGCTGTGACATTATTTGCCAGCTAGATGTTGTGACATTATTTGCCAGCTAGATGTTGTGACATTATGTGCCAGCTAGATGCTGTGACAATATTTGCCAGCTAGGTGCTGTGACATTATGTGCCAGCTAGAGGTTGTAACATTATTTGCCAGCTAGAGGCTGTGACATTATTTGCCAGCTAGATGTTGTGACAATATTTGCCAGCTAGATGTTGTGACAATATTTGCCAGCTAGATGTTGTGACAATATTTGCCAGCTAGGTGCTGTGACAATATTTGCCAGCTAGATGTTGTGACATTATTTGCAAGGTTTTTAACCAGAAAAAAAAAACCCGTGTTTTTTTCAATGAAACCCCATCTACTTTGTTTTCTTTCACTACAGATCCATCTGTGAATGTAATATCACCTACGTTTGAATGTTCACTGATTAGCTCTTGCAGTGATGCTTCTGTTTCCCCAGCTATCTATTCCTAACACCCTCAGTCCAAAGTAACTATCACTCTATGCAGGGTGCTTTGCTGTGTGGCACTGTTGTCCACCCTTCACCTTGACCAATCTTGTCAATTGCACACATATTTCTGTCAGTGAATTCTGCATGTCCAATTTACAGCCCAGAATGACACCCATAGATTCACTATGTATTTGTTCCCATATACAACCCAGAATGACTAACATAGCTTCACTATGTATTTGTTCCCATATACAGCCCAGAATGATTCCCATAGATTCACTATGTATTTGTTCTATATACAACCCAGAATGACTAACATAGCTTCACTATGTATTTGTTCTATATACAACCCAGAATGACTAACATAGCTTCACTATGTTTTTGTTCCCATATACAGCCCAGAATGATTCCCATAGATTCACTATGTATTTGTTCTATATACAACCCAGAATGACTAACATAGCTTCACTATGTTTTTGTTCCCATATACAACCCAGAATGACTAACATAGCTTCACTAT